GCATCTTAAAGGACTGCTTCAATCTTACTGTTTTTGTCCTGAGGGCTCAGCATCCACAGGAGCAAGGACCCCAGTGAACATTGCAGAACGTGCAAAGGCAGAAACAGCAAGAGGATGGCTGGGCTGTAAACTGGAGGATAAAGGAATGGGCAGGTGCCACCAGGGCCAGGAGGGAAAGACATATTCTTCTTGAAAAGAAGAGCTCGGTTTGGGATGTTCTGACTTGGGGATAAGGTGGCAAACCAAGAAACAAAAATTGAAGCGAGTTCCTGATACAGGTCACTTGTATTGTGGATCTACACCCTTGTTATTGTAGAAGGGCTGAGAGTGGGCTCCAAGTATTTTATTTTCAGGTGTCTCTCAGACATCCTTTAATACTGGAATGCCAGGTGGTATTTTATTTATTTGATGTTTTTTATTTATTTTTGAAAGAGCGAGCGAGCAAGCAAGCAGGGGAGGTGCAGAGAGAGAGGGAGACACAGAATCCGAAGCAGGCTCCAGGCTCTGAGCTGTCAGCAGAGCCTGACGTGGGGCTTGAACCCACGAATTGCGAGATCATGACCTGAGCTGAAGTCGGACGCTTAACTGACTGAGCCACCCAAGTGACCCCCTCCCTTTCTTCTTTTTTTAAATACCACAGAGTGTGATGCAGTTTTTGACTTAACTGGTCTTCACAGAAAACAGGTACACTTCCACTGTTAATGAGGAGAGGCATCCGAAGGTTGGGGTGAGGAGTGCCAGCTGAGGAGTCCAATTTCTTGGGTTCAAATCTTGCTGCCACAAGGTAACTACTGTGTGACCATGGATGGGCAGCCTACCTAACCGCTCTTTTTCCATATCCTCATGGAGCAGTTGTGAAAATTAAATGAATACGAAAAGTGCTTAGAACAGTGTCTGGTATATGAAAATCATATACCAGTTGTTGCAATTCTTCCTTATACATTCTGGTAAGTAGACAGTTTTTAGCCTCGCTATTCTGGAACAAAAGTATAAGCCACAAATCCATGACAAATTTCAAATTCTTAACAAATTAACTTCTAAGTTAGAGTTTAGTAATATCTAGTCAACATGAAAGCACACATTCACATAATACAAACTAATATTCAATAAATTTACAGTTGATGCTTTTTGGACTTATGGCTAAGAACATATGGTGCCATAGCTTGAGAAAATCCATTCTGGAGGTATGGGAGTATCTTCTTTCGCCTAATTGCAGACTCCCTCAGATTTGCCCTGAAAAGCCCATGCACTTTTCCAGCTCCATGGCCTTCACACCCCTTCCTCTGCTCAGATTTCCCTTCCAATCCATCTGGTTTTCTGAGGCGTACTTCCAGGCCTACTTGAAATATCACTGCCTTACCTTCAGCTGGTCTCTGACCCACCCTGACCCCACCCCAACTGGATAATACATTTTTTAAAACATTTTTGAGAGGAGAGAGAGCATGTGTGTGTGCATACGCACACACGGCAGAGGTGGGGGGGGGGGGCAGAGAAAGAGGGAAACAGAATCTGAAGAAGGCTCCAAGATCTGAGCTGTCAGCACAGGGCCCGATGTGGGGCTCGAACTCACGAACCGTGAGATCATGACCCGAACCAAAGTCAGATGCTTAACCGACTGAGCCACCTAGGCATCCCCCCTCCCCACAATAATACACTTCTAAGGGTGCTTCCACCAGATCATTACACAGGTAAACAACTAGCATACAATCAGTGTTCTATCTCTTTCTGCAGCCCCCGCATGGCATGGGTCATGTCTTGTTCTACTCCTGGAGCTGAATGAACACCATCATTAAACTCAACTACAAAAACTTTGCCTTCAGAAAAGGGTTCCTCAGTGTTACTCTCAACCCCCCTTCATACCCTTAACACAGGATCAATAAATACCCAACTTTAGTGAAGCACAACCATCTTTTAACTCCACCCTGAGGAAAACAAAATCCCCCAATAGACGGTAAATTCAATTTTCCAATGAAGTAGACACTCGAGATTCCAACAGCTACACCAGGACGCAGGCCTGCCCTCCGGGTTTTGTATTTTCAAGCTCCCATGATCAATCACAGGTCAATTCCTTAAAAGTAAATCCGTGTGTTTATCTCACTTGCTAGTTCTGTTTCTTTGGAGAACCATGACTAACACAGAAATGTACGAGGGAACTGTCCCTGCTTTCTTTGGACTCAACCTTCCCATTTTCACGTGAAGGCCAGCACTTCAAACATCATCTCCTCTTCTTTATCCATGGATCCCCAGCACCAGGATTTCCATCTCTAACGTCAAAGACCCACATTGAGGACTCTTACACAAAGGAGTCCTATCCATTTACATCTTGGAGGCAACATTTGACCAATGGAGGAAGGAACAAAAACACTTCTGGTCACTGTGTGCTTTTCGGAGAGTTCTCCAGGCAACAGGTTTCCCGGCAGGATAACATGATGCTGCCAGCTAGATAAGACTAATTTTACCAAATAATGTTTGTGTTTCTTTATGCATCTTTTCCTACATGGAGGAAAATCAGGTAAGATTTTAACCAAAGTTCAAAGTATAGCCTTCAAATTCAATTCGACAAAGTGGTATGACTTCAGAAAGAACCTTGACTAGTACAAATAAATATTATAATGGACGGGATCACTAATCAGAGAATTGTCAGACCACACTGAGAAAACTGTTCCGTCATTTAAGGTATTCTGCACGAAACAAAATAACAAGAGCTGCATAATAAAGTAGCCCTTGGGATGAACGATGGCTCACTAGTCAGGAATATTTCCAGTGGTAGCCATGTTAGAATTGGAAGCAGGTAGAGATTTCATCTGGTCTCCCCAACTTATCACCAGGAAGTGACAGTCACACACAGCATCAGGATAGGAAAAGCCAGGCTTTTCATATTACAACTTAATAACATGGTTTACTTTTTACCACTTGAAACTTAATAACTTAGCTTAAAAGATAATTACTGAACAGGTGAGCTGACATTAAAATGTGAGCTCTCTCAATATCTAATTTCTCTGAATCATGTTCAAGGGTCCATAATATATCCAAATTTATTTCCTTATTGGTTAGCTTTGTAGAAGGCTAGGTAGCATATTGATAACTTCTCTTAACTGAGGAATATTTGAACAGTTTACCTTTTAGAGTGTTATGTAAAATACAAGTGTGGGAGGGATTAATAAAAATCTCATACTCACTTACCCAGAGGACACACACATTTCAGATCTCTGTTCTCCCTGGCACTATCCATCTCAGGCACTGGCCTCTCTACCCAGGAAGAGCACAACCAAGAAACCTACTTCTTTTAAAAAAAGTTTTTCAGTTTATTTATTTTGAGAGAGAGAGAGTGCACACAAGGAAGGGAGGGGCAGAGAGGAGAGACAGAATCTCAAGCAGACTCCGCACTGTTAGCACAGAGCCCGATGCGGGGCTCGAACTCAGGGACTGCGAGATCATGACCCGAGGTGAGATCACGAGTCAGATGCTTAACTGAGTCACCCAGGCGCCCCATCAAGAAGCCTACTTCTTCAGAAGCTACAGTTTCTCTTTAGGGGAATCTAGGTGGCTCAGTTGGTTAAGTGTCTGACTTCGGCTCAGGTCATGATCTCCGGGTTCGTGAGTTCGAGCCCCACGGTTCGGCTCTGTGCTGACAGCTCAGAGCCTACAGCCTGCTTTGGATTCTGTGTCTCCCTCTCTGTCCCTCCCCCACTCACACTCTGCCTCTCTCTCAAAAAACAACAAACATTAAAAAAATTAAAGAAAAAAAAGTTTCTGTTTAAAGACCCACAGCAAAGAAATGCATACTAATTCCCCTTGGCCATCCTTCAGTCTCGATGGTGAAGCTTGGACAAGCATAACCACAGCTGTCGTGTCCTGGGGCCTATTAGGTCATATGCACTGAGCCTCTAGCATATCTCATTTCACTTAACCGCCCCAGGAGGCACCCATTACTTTGCCCATGTTATATAATAGGAAATGGACACAGATTAAGTAAATTTCCCAAATTCACAGAGCTAATAAATGATAGAAAAGCATCTTAAATTTTTAGGAGCCATATTTTCATTACACTATGGTGCCTCACAAACTGTCCAGAAGCCCACTCTTGCATCTAATGTATACCACTAAACACAGTTCAGGTCACTGTTCCTGATCCTGAGCCAGGAAGGCCACTAATTTCCAGAAAGTAGGAAGGGAACTTGGTTCTGCTTCTAACTGGCTCTTTTGTTTCAAAGTTTCTTCTTGAGTATTCTTAAACCTTTGTTTCAAAGTCTGTTCATTAAAGAAATTATTCTACTTAGTCATACCTTAATTATTCGCATTGACATCATTGGGTCACTGAATCATTAAGAGATGCCTAATGGCCTTTGGTCAGACTAGGAGTCAGGAACTAAAGTTCTAGTCCAGTTCTCTTTTTCTGAGAGCACGACAATCTACCTTGCTATAAAAATGAACATAAAAAAAGCTTAATAACGAGTTTCTTATAGAGGGTAATGAAAACTGTGAAATTAGATTATGGTGATGATTGCACAATTCTAGGAATATACTAACTCAGAATTTAAATAAGTGAATCTTAAAGAAAATTATATTTTAATAAAGACGTTTTAAAAAATTAAAAAAAAAAAACGCATTGGAAGAGACTGGATTGGTCAAGTGTCAATTTTCTGAGAGAAAGTAACTAAGGAATACTAGTTTTACCGCATCATTTTTGTTCTGGATTTACCTCAATTGTTAACTTGCCTAATTCCTACTATTGAAGTATTAAAAAACAGGAGTAAACACAAATTTTGTGCAAACCTTAAAAACTCCAAGACTCCTAAAATCAGGCAATGATTACAGGCTTTGTGAAGGGGAAGTCACAGGCCTCTTAATAAGGCTCAGAAGACATACACACACTTTGAAAACTAACCATTTACAACACCACCTTTTGGAAACCTAACGGAAACCTATTCGGTATTCACAGCAGGAGTTACAAACACATTTAAAAAATTCTTCCCATCAAGAATATAAGGCCTACTTACCTTGTGACAAGGAACCAGGCAATTTGACTGAAGTCTGGAGATAGTCTCATATAAGTTTTAATATGTGGCATAGCATTGCTGCGGCCAGATGTCTCAGCTGACCATTTGCTAGTGACAGGAAAAATATATTACTAATAAGAAAATATAAACCCATCATAATCCTTTTAGGACACTTCATGAAAAGCAAAATCCCGTAATCTAAAAAGTGAGTACACAGTTCTGTGCTAGAACCTGTGGTGTTTTATTAAACTGTTTAGAGAACAGAAAAAAGCACTGTGACCTCTTGGTATATAGCCTTCCAATCTCTTTTCTGCCACTAAGACTCATATATTCACACACGTATTTACTTCAGTTGTGACTTCAACTGCCCATCTGCATGTCTTGTCTCTTAGGTGGACTGGGAGCTCTTCCAAAGCAGGAATCATGCTCCCACAGTGTATTACTAAGTACAGGCTCAGTACAAGCTTTTTGAAATAAAGTACAAAATGGGAAAAAAGCCAACAAGATGAATATTAGAGCAATGTTGAAAAGCCGGAGGATAATTCAGAAACACTGGAGTCCAAGGATGACGATCATGTAACTGAGTTTGGTTTCTAGGTGTACAATACTGCAGGACTGAGGTTCTGTGGGGGGAAAAGGACCTACGTCGTGAGGTGACCATCTCTGCTTACAAATTTAAAGAGGATGGTTCCTCATGAGAAGAGACTGAGGCCAGAATTGGGATCAGGTAGACTGTTCTCTGGATCATTAAATTCACCTGAATGAATAGTGAAAAGAGCTCAACATAAGGGAATGTCCTCTGTAGGGAATAACCTCCCAAGAGACCCACAAGGGGACACCAAGTTAGACTGTGAGCTACCGAGATGCAATCTGCCTTTGTTTCCAACTGTGTGGTGTGGTGTAATTAACACCCGTTGAAGCAAGCAAGAAACTGGGCCAAGAACACGCAGAACAAGTGTCCTGGATGGGCCAAGAACACGCAGAGCAAGTGCAACCCTGGAACAAGAGAGGGATGAAAGACCTTCCCTTCACCTGGCCATTCAACCACTGAGCAAACCAAATACTATCCTACATCCTGGAGAAAGCAGTGTGGGTTTCACCCTATGCAAGCTGCAGTCACAGTACGTGCATGTGCCAACAGAAGAATTACATTCTGGAAATACGAGCTACAATGCTGCCAAATCACTAGGTTTTATGCCCGTAACTCATGTACCATTGACAGTTATACTCAAATAACTTTTTTTAAAAAGGTGCTTACGGGGCACCTGGGTGGCTCAGTCAGTTAAGCATCCGACTTTGGCTCAGGTCACGATCCTGAAAGTTGTGAGTTCAAGCTCCACACAGGGCTCTGTGCTTGACAGCTCGAAGCCTGGAGCCTGCTTTAGATTCTGTGTCTCTCTCCCTATCTGTCCCCTCCCCTGCTCACACTCACTCTCTCTCAAAAATAAATAAACATTAGAAAAAAAAAAATGCTGCTTACATAAATTCTAAACTACCCAACATTATCTTTTTTTTTTTTTTTTTTTTTTTTTTTTTTTTTTGAGTTCCAGTATTTAAATAGAAACTTCACAGGGATAAATTTTACTCTTTGGTATTAAAAACCTATTCCAAATAGTGTTCAAAATCTTGTTTAAATTATTTCTATCACTAACATATGTAGATGAAAAAAAAAAAACATAGCTACATTATGTAAGGTTCTTTTTTAAAACATCAGACTGACGATAAATAACGTTCTTATTCCTAAAGAAACAATAGCAGCATTCTAAACCAAGTACTTACTGAAAATAGGAGTGGAGCCAATTCTGCTTTTCAGCTGTCTGGATGCTATAGGGAAGAGAGCCACCAGCTTTTAAAAGAAAACAAAGTAAGAATTACAGAAAACAACTTGAGGATCCTTCATTAAGAATCTATAGTAAATACTGGAAAAAAAAAAAACAAACCCAAAACAAAAAACAAACCACTTCCTATTTCATCTCATGGAACAGTACTTGGAAAAAAAAAGGTCTATACTTGTCTTTTTTTTTTTTTTTAATATTTATTGACAGACAGGGCGTGAGTATGCTGGGGGGAGTGGGCAGGGAGAAAGGGAGACACAGAATCCAAAGCGGACTCCAGGCTATGAGCTGTCAGCACAGAGCCTGACACGGGACTCGAACCAACGAACCGCGAGATCATGACCTGAGCCTGAGGCGGATGCTTAACCGACTGAGCCACCCAGGAACCCCAAAAAGGTCTATACTTGTATTAGGTATGCTCCCTCAGTGGGGTTTCCTTTCTTAGGGATACATATAAATGTTTATGACCTGAAAAGAGAAAGGTATTATTTAATCACTCAGGGGTGGTAATTTAACATCTCTAACAGCACAGATTTGAAGTGTTACAAAAACTATATAAAAAATCCTGGCCTATCCTGCAGTCCTCACGAAGGTGAGAAATCCTTGCCCCCACTCTGGTCTGGAGCATCTCCGTTTTGGCCCAAGAACAGGTCAGCTGGGGAGGTAGACTAGGACAAAACGCGGTCCTCCTGCTTCCTTCACCTTTTACCCTCTGCCCTTTCTAAGCAGAGTTTGTATTAACATTCTCACAAATGTAATGGAATCATCAATAAAATTAACATGTTCAGTCAACAGTGAAGTTTTTAAAAAGGAATTCTAAAAGCCCTATTCTTGCATAGGAAACAAAGATACAGTTCCAGTGGCACCTGGGTGGCCCATCGGTTAAGTTCCCAACTCTTGGTTTCAGCTCAGGTCATGATCTCACGGTTCGTGAGTTTGAGCCCTGCATGTTGGGCTCCATGCTGACAGCATGGAGACTGTTTGGGATGGTCTCTCTCTCCCTCTCTCTCTCTCTGCCCCTCCCCTGATTGT